TACGATAGATATTCTGAAAAAGTCTCGTAGTCATCTGAAAGTCTCGTCTCATTGACATCTGATTCACAACGAGCGCAGATTTTTTGCGTGATTCATGTTTTTTTCAGAGACGAGAAGTAGCAACCGAAACAGGATCAAAACTAGCTGCTAAATGGGGTACCGGCTTCATCGAGACGAGTGCTAAGAACAATGACAACATCACCGAACTTTTCCAACAATTATTAGCTCTGGAGAAGAAGCGAACTCTAGCGCTGACTATGGACGATCCTGAAGGGAAGGGTGCAAAGCGAAAAGGGTGCTTAATTATGTGAAAACTCGGGTGGGCATTGGAAAAATTGTGAAAATATTTTTATTGTACTTTACTGCCAAGGATGATTCTCTTATTTCTTATACAAAGTACGATAGTGCCCACGAATCCGACAGAGTAACCCTTAAATAAAAGCAATTTTTTGTGCCTACATTTTCTCTTGTCGATGTAGGCTTATTTTCTAATTTTTTTTGCACAGTAATCGGTTCCCAGTGTGAATTTTTTAGTTTTGGCAAGTGTCAGATTGTACAGTGTATTTTTCATGTACCTTTTGTTAGTTATATGTTTACTAATCGCTAATAAGTTTATGTTTAGGTCATATATGATTGTGAAGGTGTCAAATTGCAAGATAATAAAGTATTCATTGAAAGTTTGAGATCATGCAATAAAGAGGATTGATTTTCGATATGTGGCAAGAGTTTGCTATTGGAGAAAATCTCACAAAAGTTTCCTAACAGCTTACTACTTGTACCTGAGCAAATGTTAAAGTAATCCCGATGCCTAGATAAGAGAGCCTAGAAATTCTATGAGTTCATTTTTTGCACGGAAAGCATTTGAAAGTATGGTTTTCCTGCTCTTCCCTGGACACGAATATGAGCCAGTAGACCCTTCCCTCCGGACACGACGACGCTGTAAAATAGTCTCATTATCGTCACACAGTTTGGAATTGAGGAGTACTTACTGTCCATCGTTGAAGGAAACGCATTGTAGAAGGTCCGCATCGCTTGCTACAGTCTCTTCCCACACACAAACTGAAAATAAAGACTTTGGATGGGCCCACGTGACACGATTTGGTGATACTCCAATTGTATATAACTCAACGTATCTAAACAAAAAAGTCTTCACGGTGCGCACACCACCTGATATAATACTCTACTCATGAAAGACAAACATTGGTGAAAAATATAGGCTACATAAGTAGTAGAAGCTATTCTTGAGAAGCTGTTTTTGCTATTTTGCCTTCCCACAACCAGGTTTGTTCATACGTACGGGTCAAGATCTTGTAAATAGGCTTTTCTGCATTTTATTATACTCCATATAACATTCTGTATATTCGGTGATCATACTACACCGAGGTCCAGAAGTTCAATATAAATATTTCCGTCATGCTCAGAACTCCACTCATTCTCAAGGTTTTTATTTTTATCCTTTCGATACGATTGGAATGCTGATAGAGCAAATTTTGACTTTACGATACAGTCATCTTTCTACAGTTCTCGCCAGAATTTACTTAGAATTCAAGGAAATTAAAAAGGAAAATGTTTGTCATCTAGCTCGTTATCCAAATATCGGAGCTAAACGGCTTTGAAAAACTAGGTTTTCTGATAAGTTCATGCAAAGATATCTATGCCAACGATGTAACAAAATGTCTACTTGGAATGTCTGCTGTTTCTCTTCCAAAACCTTTTTTTATCATTCGCGTAATTCTTCTTCTCTTTGAAC